CCTCAGCCTCCCGAGTAGCTGGGACTACAGGTGCCTGCCACCACGTCCAGCTAATTTTTTGTATTTTTAGTAGAGATGGGGCTTCACCGTGTTAGCCAAGATGGTCTCGATCTCCTGACCTCATGATCCGCCCACCTCGGCCTCCCAAAGTGCTGGAATTACAGGCGTGAGCCACCGCGCCCGGCTGAAAGTCACATATTTAAATTGTGATAGTCTAAAATTCATTTTTGCAGGGATCCACAAGTAAAACAGGAAACCAGCTGCAGACCTTAAGAAAGTCAAAATCCTGCCAGGCGCAGTGGCTCATGCCTGTAATCATAGCACTTTGGGAGGCCAAGGTGGGAGGATCACCTGAGGTGGGAGTTCAAAACCAGCCTGACCAACATGGAGAAACCCTATCTCCACTAAAAATACAAAATAAGACAGGCGTGGTGGCGCATGCCTGTAATCCCAGCTACTCAGGAGGCTGAGGCAGGAGAGTCGCTTGAACCCAGGAGACGGAGGTTGCTGTGGGCCAAGATCATGCCATTGCACTCCAGCGTGGGCGACAAGAATGAAACTCCATCTCAAAAAAAAAAAAAAAAAAATCAAAATCCATAAGACTTTTACATTGTTTTGTTGCAATGAAAATCTGATAGACCATATGTAGCACAAGAATCCTGCTTGCTAGTATATAGGAATAGGATATTTGCTCATGTAATACATACTCATTGTTCATGTAATACATACTCACTGAGCAGCTAGTATATCAGGCTAAGTTCAGACATGAAAACAAGGCCTCTACCCAGTGAATGTGCCAGGCTTGGAAAGTCTTCATGTCTACCCCTGTGTCCAATTCTTGGTAAAGGTTCTCAACATACAGCAAATAACTATGGAATAAATGACTAGAAAGGAATTAATCCCTAGGAGGGCAGACTAAAGCCCTATGATGAAGGGATATTGAGTTAGGAGGACCCAGCAAGATTGCTACACAAACTCCCTTCTGAAAAACTGTGCATCAGGGTTATGGAGCTTGTCAAGCTCACATAGTGAGTTATGGGCACTATCAAGGTTATATAATCTATGGATCTGGTATCCTCTATCATCCCCTATCCCAAGCACCTTTCAATCTATTAAGGGTAACTGCCCAGGCCCTAGCATAAAGATTAGGAACAAGTACTGCCCAATCAGAGAGGTCCTAAGCTCCATCTTCACTCACCACCTCCTAAACAGAACTCAAACCTACTCACTTAACCTGCCTACTTTCTTCACTTATCTGCTGCATGACCTGTTTGACTTAGGAGTGTCTGACGAGACCCAGGGGAATAGAGTAGTGGGAAGGAGGGAGTTGAAGCAGAATTTAAGCATCGTGGTGAAAACTGTTCCACTCAACTAATGGAATCATATACTCACAGGAGACTATGGAAAATAAGATTTGTTCTACTGAACTATTCATTATAATCAGAGTTTATATGCCCAACCCCTTGGATGTAAAAATAAGTTGACCAAATTCTCCATTGTACTTGTTTTTTTATTTTTTTAGACGGAGTCTTGCTCTGTTGCCCAGGCTGGAGTGCAATGGTGTGATCTGGTCTCACCACCTCCTGAGTTCAAGCAATTCTCCTGCCTCAGCCTACCAAGTAGCTGCGATTACAGGCTTGCACCATCGCACCCAGCTAATTTTTGTACTTTTAGTAGAGACAGGGTTTCACCATGTTGGCCAGGGTGGTCTTGAACTCCTGATCTAAGGTGATCTGCCCACCTCGGCCTCCCAAAGTGCTGGGATTACAGGTGTGGAAATTCTTGTATTCACAGCATGAAGTGGTAGGCAATTCCTCACCACAATGCAAAAGTTAAAAATTAAAATTGTCAAAAAGAACTATTTTAATACAGTGTAAATCAAACAGAGAAGTACAGATTCTTGAAAAATCTGCTAGAGATTCAGGTAAAAATAGTAAGCTTTCTAGCCTAGGATCCTGCCATCCTTCTACCCCTCTATCCCCACTGCTTACAGCATAGTCAGGTGGTGACAATGCTAGTTTTCCCAGCATGGGGCCAGCTATGAAAATCAGCAGTTCTGCTGCTCTAGGGGGTGGACTCAATTTGGGGTGAGGAAGAAAATTCACGGATCTGCCAGCTAAAGTTGTGAATGTGGATGGAAATGAGTAGCTTTGGCAGTGGTCCTTGTTAGATGGGCAGAACATCCAGAGATTTAATGGGAAAATCCTGAAACAGAGCCATAGAAAGGCTGAGATTAAGCTCTTCACATGACCATCACTGACTAGGAAATTATACCTAAAAGAACCAGGAAAAACTGAAAACCAAAGGAGACTTTAGAGCCAGTTGCAATTTTTTAGAGTTTCTCCAAACCCACATACAAATTGACCAGGCCGGGGGAGGGGTATAGCTCAGCAGTAGAGCATTTGACTGTAAGTAGATCAGGATAGGGTAAAAGCCTCAGGGGCTGAAAGTATTTGAGAACCTCTGCCCAAATCACTGGCTGACAACTAAGTTAAACAGATACAGGGACAACCCACCAAAAGCCAGGCTAGGAAGAAAATAATGAAAAAAATTTTTTTTCTTTTGAGACGGAGTTTCGCTCTCGTTGCCCAGGCTGGAGTGCAATGGTGCCACCTTGGCTCACTGCAACCTCCACCTCCCGGGTTTAAGTGATTCTCCTGCCTCAGCCTCCCAAGTAGCTGGGATTCGCTGGGCACAGTGACTCACGCCTATAATCCCAGCACTTTAAGAGGCTGAGGCGGGTGGATCACCCGAGGTCAGGAGTTCGAGACCAGCCTGACCAACACGGTGAAACCCTGTCTCTACTAAAAATACAAAATTAGCTGGGCATGGTGGTGTGCGCCTGTAATCTCAGCTACTCGGGAGGCTGAGGCAGGAGAATCGCTTGAACCACGGAGGCAGAGGTTGCAGTGAGCTGAGATCATGCCATTGCACTCTAGCCTGGGCAACAAGAGTGAAACTCAGTCTCAAAAAAAAAAAAAAAAAGAAAAAGAAAAAAGAAAGTGCTGGAATAACAGGCGTAGGACACTGAGTCCAGCTGAAAATAAAAATTTTAAAATTGACCAGGTACAGTGGCTCACACTTGTAATCCCAGCACTTGGGAGGCCAAGGCGGGAGGATCATGAGGTCAAGAGTTTGAGACCAGCTTGAAACCCCATCTCTACTGAGAATACAAAAAAGCTGGGCATGGTGGCGGGCGCCTGTAATCCCAGCTACGTGGGAGGCTGAGGCAGGAGAATCGCTTGAACTTGGGAAGTGGAGGTTGCAGTGAGCCAAGATTGCGCCACTGCACTC